ACACACACACACACACACACACACACACACACACACACACACACACACACACATTGTGTGTTGTGTATATGTCATAGATTTATAAAAACCAGGATCAGAGTGCTGCATAAATATTTTTTAAAAAATTAAAAATTAAAAAGAACAAAATTAAGCACCTAAGGAACTCTTCAGATTCCTAATATAAGTGAAAAGTACTTATTCTGCTCTCTAAAAATACTCCATTCCAAGTATTTGTACTTTATTATAATGAGATAAATGTACTCTACAGTATTAAAGTAAAAGCATACTGTCACTACGCCTGACAAAAAGTATACAGCAGAGTTAAATTAAAATACTCAAGTAGAGTTTCATTTTTGACCCAGAAACAGAAAACAATCTGAAATATTTCTTCTTTTCTGAAGCCTCTGATTATTTCCAGGTTTATAACAGAATATAGCAGATGGTTTTATTAGCCTGAGAGTTTTGGACTCCACTTTATGGCCTTAAGTTTGGCCTTGAAAAGATATTTCAAATTCAATTACCCTCAAATTTCAAGTTAATTTAAAATAAAGTGAACTTTATTGTACAAGTCGTTCATTACTACAGAGGACATGTGTGGACTGAATGGTTTGATGCTAAAATATCTTTGGTAATTTGATTTCACAGTTTAGTTAATTTTGTTCTAACTTCCTTCAACATTTGCTCACTTGAGGTGAAACTTGTGAAAAGACAAACACAAATAAACTCTACTTCCTTTTCTAGGTGATATTAAAGGGCTGTTTCACCTGATCAGATGCTGGTTTTCTTCTGACATTTCGATATTTGTCTTTCTTCCAGATGATGATCATGATGGCAATTATAGGGGTTATATTTATGGGCGTCATTTTCTGTAAGTAAAATATCACTTTTGTTTTTAATTATTTTTTTAAAGGGCACTTTAACTATAATCTGTAGTGTCTAAACTAATATAGGAATACATTTTCATCACATTTTGCTACTTTTCATATGCTGCTATTTTTTATATGTATATGTGTATATAATGCTGCATTAATATTAATTCAATTCATGTATTGCATGTTTTGATGTTTTTATTGTCTTTTTTCTTTTGTTTCAGCTGTGAGAACATACACTGTAAAACAAAAAAGAAAATGTTAAAATGCTTTGTATTTTTTAAACTAAACTGTGTTGACACAGCCGGGGCGATGTTTTCTAATGGATCCAATTTTCTAGTTTCATTTTACATTAGATCATATGTATTTTTGTGGATTAAATTTTGTAGATTTAATTGTTAAAGAAGTATATTTACATGTAAAAACAATGACATTACATGAATTGTATAATAATAATAATAATAATAATAATAATAATAATAATAATAATAATAACAGATTGACAGATACAATTATAACTGATATATATAAAATGATCAAAACTGTATTTTTGACAGATTACCAATGCTTGTGATATTATGCATCGATGACATCAAAATAATTCAACATTTTTGAAATCAATGCAAAATTACAGAACCATGCTTATTTTTCTCGTAATTCTCAATAACTGTATCTGATTTCAAAATATATTTACAGTATTAAATTAAAATTTAACTGTATCATCTATTACATAGGAAAAAAAAGAATTACAACAATTTCCCTGAGGTTTCCACCAAAGGGATCAATAAAGTTCTATTCTATTCTATTCGAAAGAGTGTGAATTTTTTATTTTTTTTAATTTGCAAATTGGACAGTTGGACTGTGAAAAAAGTTTCTTTTAAAAAATGTAAATTTAATCACTATTGACAGCGAGACGCTTTTAATGTTATTTTATATTCATATCAGTCACATCAACTCACAGTCTGTTTTTTATAACTTTGTTGATATTTTTGCTATATCAAAAATAAAGACAAAAAAGTAAAATAAAAAGTAAAAAATTTGGTTGCATTACAGATTTTTTTTTTTTACGTTGTAGTGTAAACCCAAGTTCTGTCCTCAAGGGCTGAGTACAATCACTCAAATGTTTCATAAATAAAGCATCAAAAGTGCTTTAAAGAAGGGCGGCTGCTTTAGCTCACCTGGTTGAGGTGGTGACCCACGTACAGGGGCTATAGTCCCGGATGCAGCAGCCATGGGCTCAAATCCCGCTCATGGCCCTTTGCTGCAACCCCTTCCCCCATTCTTCTCCCCCACTTTCCTGTCTCTCCTTCGACTGTCCTATGCAATAACAGCAAAAAGCCAAAAAATAACTTTAAAAAAAAAAGTGCTTTAAAGAAAAAACTAACTCAAAGCGATTATCTGTGTTCTCTGTCCTCAGTGTATTTCTTCTACTGAGCAGCTCTTCAGGGACGGACGCACAAGTCACAGGACGACTCTGCACCAACAAACCGCCGACACAAATCCAGCCTCTCCTCAGCTGCTCTTCATCCTCCTCTTCCTCCGCGACGCCTTCCTCAGAGCCCTCCACGCATGATGTGTATATGTGCTCCACAGCCTCCTCCCTCCGCTGCACCAGGCAGGTTTCCTGACTTTCAATAGCAGCCGTGATACTTTTGTGTTTGCTGGGAGTCGGTGGGGTTTAACTTCATCGGGGCAGTTTGCAGAAAAGTGGCCGAAACAGACTTTTTCTCTCAAACACAAACTCGCTGCAGGTGTAAAAATCTGTTGTCCCGCATTTGTTCAATGTAAACTGGAAGCGGAACATGAATAAAAACCTCCTGCTGCTGTTACAAGAGAGAAAAAGGGCATTTAAGAGAAATTAAAACCACTTCCAGGCTGGTTAGTCTGTGACAAAATGTCAGAATACACAAGTAGCTTCATCAAGGTACATCTTTTCATTCTTGCTGTTTGGGTTTTAAAACTAGGCTATGACCATTTTCTGCTTAGTGTTCCTACACAGTCACCACAAATCTCAGAATCTGGTAAATCTGTGACATTTATCAGTTAAATTGTCATCCCCACATCATTTTGTGCTCTGCAGCAATAAAAAATAAAAAAAAAATCTGTTTTATTCATTTACAGCAGCTGTGCATAAAACATCTAGAAAACGTGTAGAAAATGTGTCATGAGTCCACCAACAAAACCACTGGATGTAGTTTAAAATCGTATTATTTCATTTATTCAGGGAACTTTCGCCTACATCTTTAGATTTAAAGAGGACAGAACTGCAAACAGGCGATCAGACAGGTGGTTTAAAAGAGCATAAAGGTTATTTTCTTATAGAATTTATAGAGAAAAGTCACCACACCAAAAATTGTAATGAGTAACTTTTTGTCTCAAACTTATTTTAATGAAATAAAATGAAAAATATTTGTATACAATTACAGAAAAGTTGTGTTTTAGGCGAGGTGTATACACAAGTTCATAAGAAATTAACATTTTGCAGGGTTTGTTTAGGTGTCTGCATATGATAGATAAAGAGTTGAAGACTACATGCCTAATGACTGTCCATCACAAATGTCACAGTTAGAAAACAAACTTTCTCTGTTAGTTACAGATGCACAAAAAATTTGAATATGCTCACAGTTATGATATGTAAATGATTATAACAAAATATCCTGAGTTTTCTGTGTTATTCAGTCTGTAATCTGCCTGTAAATGGACTCACAGTGAGCATGTGTCTTCTCTGTTCTGTGTTTTAAACCTGGTTCATTACTTCCTGCTTTGTCAGTCTCTCTCCTCCATCAGCCTCCACTGTGCTCTACTGGCCTCGGTGTTTAACTGTCAGTGTTGCTGCTGCTGCTGCTGCTGCTGCTTTAAGTCCACTTTGAGCAGAAAATTCACCTGGATAACTACAACTGGAATAATTTAGATATTTCTTTTTAAATATCTGTTTGTCTGTCCAGCTTCAGTTTAAACTATGATACAGTGTGTATTTTTGTTGTGTTGTGAACCGACCTGACTTGTGTTTTCCGTGGTTTGAATGTGCAACATGTCTTTTTGTTCTTTTTGATTCCTCTTTACATTAGGGAATGTTTTCATGATTGAAAATGCAGAATGTGGGTTGTGAGACTGTAGATATATAAAGAATCGTTGTTGAACCTGAAGGAATAAATTGTTACATTTAGGAGTGAATGATTGAAGTACTGGAAATCAGGATCAGTGCTGCTTCTGTACTGCTGGATGTTCTTAGAGGTGCTGATGTTGAGAGTGGCCTGGGATCTCAAATAAATTCATGTTTGCAACAGACATGTAGTGTTTGAGCTCTGGTTTGTTTAATGTCATCAGTATTCTCTAGCATAAATAACAATTTCATTTAGCAGCATCTAAAGTAAAGGTTGAAACACGAGTCCTTTGTTCGACGTAAAATACTGAAACATCATCACAAATGTTAACCTTTTAGATTAATATCTGGAAATTGACAGAAAAGAGCTTTTATTTAACATTTCATTGCATTTACACATCCAGTAACAACATTATCATTTACTGGAGTTGTATTTGTGCTCACCTATTCACTCTTTTAGCTCCATGTTGGTCTCCAACAGCTCCTGAGGTTGTTATCAGGCTCGTTAAAGTGCTACATGTTGATCAACTGGTCTCTAGTACTTGTCTGCTGTTTGCTGCTGTATAAGTAGTGTGCAGAGGATTTTTAAGGACTTCCATCCATTATCTATACACCGCTTAATCCTCATTAGGGTCGCGGGGGGGCTGGAGCCTATCCCAGCTGACTTAGGGCGAAGGCAGGGGACACCCTGGACAGGTCGCCAGTCTATCACAGGGCTACACTTAGAGACAGACAGCCAAGCACACTCACATTCACACCTACGGACAATTTAGAATCACCAATTAACCTCAACATGTTTTTGGACTGTGTGGGAGGAAGCCGGAGAACCCAGAGAGAACCCACGCTGCACGGGAACGTGCAAACTCCACGCAGAAAGATTCCCCACTGGGACGTGAACCGGCAACCTTCTTGCTGCGAGGCAACAGTGCTACCAACTGCGCCACCCTGCAGCCCTTTTTAAGGACTTTTTACTCGTAAAACATCTGCGTGTCGAGACTGAAAAGCATTGTAAAGGTAAGGTTTCAAGAACCTTTAGAGGAACTCAAGGGACATTTGCATCAGTGCAGATTTGTTCTAGTTTGTGAATCAAAATGTGAACTGTTTAAGTGCATCTATTGAATTAAAGGAGCTCCTGAATATCGAAAGTATGTTAACTAAAAAACATCACCAAGATGACACCATTTATCTGCTAGAAACTATAAAAACGGAAAGAATCGTCCCACTTTCACCTCTCAGATGGTCCTTAAAATTTTCATCTGCGACATGCTGTTCTGTTGGGAAAATGAACCAAATCTAAATTTGAAATCATGACATTTCATCAAAATCAATTTATTCTACATGTTTCATTTAGAAAATTGAAAACATGAGTATGCATGGTGAAATATCTTGTAAAAAAAGAACAAAAAAAAGTAGCTAATTAAATATTTATAGCATATGAAGCCCCAATGTTATTGATATATTGAGTTAGGGTTAGGGTTAGGGCTATAGCCTTTTCCATTTTTTCAGTAACACAAACAAAAATAAAATCTAAGAAATTCAACTTTTCTTTTTTTAATCATTTATGAAATTCTAACCACACCATACTGCACAAAAGACATTTTCAAGATTGCTCTGCCATATTGAAGTTTCATAAAAGATGCTAAAAGACCAACTTTGACCACCGTTTGCTGTATGAACATGTGATTGATTTCTTTCTATCTACATCTGCTTTTCCACCACAGAAGCCATGAGCTGCTCCGGGGGCAGTAATCATCAACATTAAGTAACTTTGGGGGGATTTTATCAAGCCGATTGGTCGAGTGTGCTGACATTTTCTACATCACTAGTATCCACACAGCATTTAAAAAAAAAACCTGCAGTTACAAACACCTCACTTGTCTTGTAGCTTTGTTTTAGTAATTACTAATTCAGATCTTCCCAAGGCTTTGCTGTGGAAAGAAATCACAATGAGATGGAGGAACTTTTACCTCAAGAAATTATCTGGACTGGAATGAACCCCAACAGTGATGGAGTGACGAGATGAGACCCACTGGAAAGTTGTGTAGCAGAGCGGCGCAGCAGATTCAGCTGAAAATTCTTCTGTACTAGTTGCACAGTTCACATGTTGTACAATATTAATACACAAAATATAAGCAGCATTCATGCAGCCTGCAGTTTTCTCTGCTGCCTCTGAGGGCTGTTTTTTAAGCGATGCTGCCACCATGCGTCAGTCAGGAATCTGTGTCACACATCATTCAACGTGCAAAGACACAGCAGGACCTGAAATTAAAATCATCAGGTCACAGAGTGATTTCAGTGAAAAATAGTTTGTTTTTTTTTTAAATGTCATAATGGAAACTAAAAACACCAAGACAGACGATATTAAAGTTAAACAGTAGAACAGTGCTAATCTCAGTTTTTATTTCTCTGGCTGTTATTTAAGTAGATTTTAGATTAATTTTTTCTTTGTAGCCCCCCTCACCTCGAAAAAGACAAAAGACACAAACTCTTTATTACATTTTTTTATTTAGGTCCCAAAAAACCATCATAATAACATTATATCAATAATATTAATACAGAAATTGAAAAAAGGAGGAAAAAAAATAAAATAGCTTTTCTGTCCACAGCCTCATTCTCGGGGGAGTCAGGAGGGGATTTGCTCCTCCAGAAAAACTGTAAAGTCTGTTTTTGGGGGGGGAGGGAAGGGGGGTAAAAAGTGAACTGGGCGTGGCTTCAAGCTTGGGCGCGCTGTCCGTCATTCTGCTGTGCACCAATCAGGAATGTCGAGGTGAGGCAGGGGGTGGTTGACGAGGTAAAGAGCCGAGTTTCAGTCTACTGCTGCGACATCTGACGGAGGAGAAGAAGAAGAAGACGGCTGTTTTCAAGCAGCTCTTAAAAGTGGAATTTTTTTTACCTGAGCATTCTACATTTGTGTTACTCATGTTGTGGGGACATGAATGTGTTTATACATCATTGTCATATTGTTGGAAAACATCTCCCTCTTGGAAACAAATCAATAAGATGAAGCCTTTATTCTGAACATATACATCACAGTACATTAAATTTTATTTTTCTACAGCTTGTTAGGAGTCAGAAAGCAGTGCGAGCCATGATACGGTGCCTCTGGAGAAGACGGGGTTAATGGTCTCGCTCATGGGCCCAATAGAGGCGGAGTGGTGTGCTAACCCTCACCTCCAACTTTCTGATCAGTCACCCAGAGTCTTAACCTAAAGGCACCAATGCCGCTGACGTATCTCAGCATCAGCACTCAGTTAAGTTTCAGAATATCGCTTAATTCATACAACTGCATTGAATATACGGCGGTGCAGTGTAGCCACTTAGCTTCAAGTTGCAGCAGCGCAGAGCACATTAACTGTAATTGCTTGGTAGTAATGTGGATACATGTGTTCAAATGGCAAATTGATTTGCACTAATGTAATGCTTCTGCAAAACAAACCATATTGTGTGACAAGCTGTATAAAGGGTTGATCCAAATGTTTTGAGGGTGTTTGCGGCAAACAGAGCATGTCTTTTCAGCGCGACTTCCTCCAGTGTCCCCAAGACAAAGTTTAAGTTCAAGGTTTGTCCTTTTGATACAGTTTAGGAGATTTAGCTCATGGCTAATGGTGCTCGATATGATTAAAGAACAGGACTTCCAGTGAGCGTTACAAGTGTTGCAGGAGCACTGGGAGCAGAGGATCCCTGCACAAGGAGACTACTTCAACAGGGATGGATGTCAAATTTAAATCAGCTGTGACTTTTGATTCTTAAGGCACATTGTTTGAACCTTTTTGATCAACTCTTATATCTTGTTTGCTTTCTGCCTATGCATGTTGTTTTCTGGTCCAATTCATATATAGACTCGATCAATTATTAGGTCCAACTCTAAGATGATCAGTTTAATTTCAGCCATTGTGATTGTCGTATACAAAGAAACTCAACGCAGTGCTTAGAAACACTGCTGCTAACTAGCAACCAGTGCAAAAAGTCTAAATGCTCCCAACAGTGGTTCACAGGAGTATAATTAAGTCTAATTCTGCAGGAAACTGATGTGAGTCAGGGTAATGATCTCCGATGTGTGCTACCTGTTGTGTCTGTGCCTGTGTGTCGGGTCCTCGGCTTGCCAGGCGGCTCAGGATGTTCCTCTCAGACATCTGGAGTCGCACGGCAACCGGCGGTATCCGGGCGATGGTTGCCGGGAGGCGGGTGACATCTGCCTTCATGTCACTCAGCAGCTCCTCCAACTGCTTCAGCACTGACAGAGAGAGAGAGTAATAAGGACCTTTAGTTTTTTCCTCACTGTACGTTACAGTAGTTCAGAGTCATTTTACATCACAATTTGAATTCTGAAGATGATTTTTTATCAACTCAAATCCATACTCTTTTCTGCAGTGGGGGTGATCGATAACCCAGAAACATTCTGAGAACTGCTTTATGAAGCACTGTACATGCATTAAACTAAAGAACAAAGAAATTAGTGAATAATTGATAAGTAATAAATGACTGGCAGCACCAGGAAACAAACAACAAAGCAAAAAAGATGAGCTGTTACTCAAGTCCAACATCTTGTGCTGCAATTTACCTGTTTGCAACACCATGAAGTCCTTGTTAAGCACATTTATTTGAATTGAGTAAAGTATCTCCAAGCACTCTGAAAGCATCATGGATACTAAATCATGAGGTTATAACCATTCTGGTTGTTTGTTTGTTTTTTTAAATACTTAACAACCGGTTCAGCTGATCTATTCCGTGCCGACAGAGGGTCGATCATTGGTCACTACCTTTGTGCAGGACGGCGTTGGCCGGTTTGTTGCCCGACATGGACTCTTTGCTGAGGTGCTGGTGGGATTCGGCCAGACACTCGACCTCGCTGAAGCGGGTGTTGAGGGCCATGGAAGGGTGGGAAGGGTCCTCCGACATGTTGAGGTAGGCGGCACGACGCAGCTGCTCCTCGATCACAAGTGCCTGTTCCAACAGCTGGAGTGGAGAGAAAAACACATGTCAACACTCTGAGGTTCTTCTGACATCTTTCTCTTTGGCAGTTTGTTGTGCAACAGATATTTTAAAGAACACTGGTTCTGTGCAAGTTTACAAACTTTTTTTTTTTTAGCAGACTAAAGTGTCTAAAATGTACCTTGCTAAGCAATTCTAAGCAATGCCAACTGCTTCCCTGTATTTTACACAAAAACACAGACTCATCTATTTATTTTTTACTGAGATTACTACCAACAGATGTTTGGAGGAAGACCTTACGGCACAGCAGAAATTCCACAATGTATTCACACATAGTTTACAGAGCATCTGTGTTATTCTGAATCAAACTTTTAAGCCACAACACATCCAAAAATGCTTACAGCTGCAGTCAGCTTACAAAAGCAAAAACAAACTCAAAAATACAAATTAGACGTTAATGATGCAGCTTTATCGCTCTGCAAAACTAAAATTACACGTTGTCCAACTAAAATGTTTGTGGCAGTGCTATAGACTACTTTTAAATTCCAACAACCTTATAAAGTCCACCTTTTTGCTACAAAATGAGAATATATTCCTTGAAGAATGGCTATAAAATATATTAGAAATGATCAGAAAAAGGAGAGCTGCAACACAAAAGGGATTTAACATTAACTTTCCAATGTGGTTAATGTTAAATCCGTTGTTTAACTAACGACCAGTTACACCTTATTTATCTAATAATTGTTCTGTCTGGACCATTTACATTCATACCTTGAATCTTCTGGCGAGGAACTTGTTCTTGATTTCCAGGAAGTTGCCTCTGTTCATCTCTCCTTTAAAAGGCTCGTTGAGGATGGCGAACTTCACATCGTTCTGGATGTCCTGCCAGCGGGCGTAACCGTGTCTGAAGGAAGCAGCGGTCAAGGGGAACAACTTATTCGAATCAATTCACTGCTACATCCTTTGAGGAAAACAAGCCAAATGAACCAATCAATCAGGTGGGAAAAGGATACTGTATGATGCCAGCCAGCAGCCAGTAGTCATGGCGACGGTGCCAGATCTCATTGGTTTTCTTGGTAACCGTGGCAGCACGCTCCTCGTTCTGCCACAAAGAGTGGAGCTCTGAGGGAGAGGTGAAATCAGTCAGTGATAAAACGAACCTTAAAAGCTGGTTTGTGTTTCTGTCTGTGTGGGCAGGTGTTACTACCTGTGAATCCACCGTCAGCGATGTTAAACATGAACCGGGTCTTGGCCTTCTTCTTTTCCTCGCTGGGTCCGCTCGCTGTGGCAGCAGCGGCTGGTGCCGCACTCTCCTTGCTGCTGTCTCCATTCTGCAGTTTGGTCGCCTCCTCTGGCTTCTGAACCTCCTTCTCCTCCTTCAGATCTGCAGGACAGAGAGTAGCAGCGATTAACATCGGAACAACAACAGACCTCAGGAGAGAGTTGGCTGAGATATACAGTGTGAAAACACTAAGGAAGAAAAGGTTTGGGTACCTTTCTTTTCATCTGCAGGAGGAGTGGTGTCCATTTTCTCTGTCTTGTCTTCCTTCTTTTCTTCTGCTGCATCACAGAAATAACAAATATTAAAGAGGACATAAAGACAACCAGAGCTTTAGAGATCATAACAGACATTTACACCGATACATTTTTCACTGTAGGCGAGGGTTTTAGCAAAATTTCAGAAATAACCTCTTTTCGATTTATTCTTCCTGTCTCAGTTAAAAATGTGCCAATTGTTATTCGCTCCAACCAGATTCTGTAAAAAATAATGTGCTCCTTGACACAACTGTGACGCCATGACTGGCTCAACAATGACCAACAGTCATGAAACAAAAATTCAAAGAGTTCAGGTGAACTGCAGGCTGTGTTCACACAGAACAGAGAGGAGGCAAGTGTGGATTTTTTATTTATTTATTTTAAGTATTCAAGGAAACTCAACTCTTTTTCTTATTCATGATTAATAGCAATATAACTGTCATCCTGCACAGAAGACATGTTTGGGTTATGTCTTCTTTTACCAATGGTTGTGCTGTTTCCATTTATATTACAGTGAAAAATGAGCCCGTAGTGAGTAAAAATGTGACAGAAGAAAAAGAAACCACTTGTCCAGAAGGATTAAAATGTAACAAACTGTCCTTGTAATAATGCTGACTCATTGACAGAGTGTGAGCTTATTGTGTGCATGAAAAGTCGAAGGCTCAAGTTGACAGCTTTTCAATTATTGCAGCGCCTCTTGTGATGACCTTGTGCTTTCATATTCTACAGAATTGACTGTGCCTTTGAGGATAAAATCAAAACAAACCAAGTTTCCTCTCGAGTGATGCACACCATCCAAGAGGGAATTAATTTGGTATTTGTAAAAATTAAAAAAGAAAAAATACAAACAAGAAACAACACTGTAAACAGGAGGAATAGTGATTCATCAGCTTTACCTTTGACTTCTGGGTCCTCAGGTTTGACCTCTGACCCCTCAGTCTTTGCCTCTGAGGGCGACTTAGTTTCTTCTGCTGCCTCTTCACTCTTCTTCTCTGCCTCTCCCTCAGTCTCCTTCTCGCCTTCCTTCTCTTTGACTGCTTCTGCTTCGCCGTTGCTTGGTTTGTCCGTCTCCATCGGCTCCTCCCCGTTCTTCTTTTCCTGCTCCTCTGTCGGACTCTTCTCGTCGTCATCTGGGATGGCGATTACCTGTTTGGAGATGAGGAGGAACATTTGTCTCTCTTCTCATTCTAAAGATACAATTGTTATTCATGTTGCTTTAACGCACTGAATCTTTACCTCGCTGGATTTTACCGGCTCTTTGCCATTCTTCTCTGCCTCGCCTTCTTTCTTCACCTCCTTCTCTCCGTCCTTTGCTGCCTCGTCATTCTTTGAGGAGTCATCAACTGTAAACACATTCATTCATTCATTAAATAGTTTTTCTATGGGCTTAAATGGGACATTTTACCATAAACACATGATTTGTAGTAACCAACTCGGAAATAATGTGTGCTTGTTTGTTTAACTAAATAAGAAGTTGTGTGTGCTACCTGGAGCGGGTGTGTTGGGTTGTGTGTCGGCGGGGGTGCCGGTGGACGGGGTTTTTCCTGGAGAGTCAGGCTGAGCTGCAGCCCTCTTGTTTTCCTCCAACTCGGCCATCCAGGGCATTGACCACTGACCGTTCACGTGCTCGAACTCCTGAACCTGGAAAGCACAGCATTGATTTCATGCAGTTTAATATCACTGCTCATCTGGAGAACGGAGCCAAACCAAACACTGCGACACCACACTATAGTTCCAAATGTTTATTTTCTTCTGTAATATTTTTCCGTTTAATTAACTGCTGTGTAATGTCAACAAATGAAGAACATCCTCAATGTTCTAGCCGCTTCTTCAATTCAGTTTTTTTTTTTTTTTTTAAACACAGCAGTGAATTACTGTAAATCGCTGTTTCTAAACGGTTCATCGGAACTTTCTAAAGACCATTTTAAGACCAGGTTACTTGAACTCCTGTTTCATAACCACAAAATCCAAACTATGACTGAAAACCAGCAGGGACAACATGAAAAAGCGTTATCTATCATAAAGTCACATTTTCAGCACATCCCTGCTGCATGACATTAATCCTCTGAACCCTTCAAACCCACCAGCTCGTCAGACAGGCATGTTATCTTTAAAGGAAAAAAAACAAACAAAAAAAAAAAACAGCAAAATGTCACCTATTTATCAGCCAGAAACTAAAATCTGTAGGAATCATTAGATTTTCAACTTCTAAAAAGCCCTTAACATATGTATGCTGTTCCATCAGGCAAGCCTAACCAAGCTAAAAATCATGACATTTTCTTAAAAATCACTTTATTATACTCATCTCATGTAAAGATTGGCTAGTTTAAAGCAGATTCTGTAAAAGACAAAAAAAAATCTGCCATAACAAAAAGTTTTAGACTGTCCAGAGGGTTAATGCGACCTAGACAAGCGGACAGGACAAACCCGGTAAAAATGGTTATGTCATTTCTGAGCTACCGTTTGCTGACTTTTTACAGCAGGTTCTCCATAAAAGAGATTCCGCAGCATAACACACTGTCACAACAATAAGACTTTTAGTGCAGAGGTGCGTAATTTTTCCTGACACCCTGTGATCACAGAGAGACAACTTTTATAACATTACTGCCTGAACCAAAAGAGAGATGAGATTTAGGACTAAATGTTAATACTTCAACCCTCTGAACTAAAAAACCTGCCAGCTGGTTTGAAAGTCATGTTAAATTAGTTAAGCTGAGTTAAGACAAATGAAGAGGAAAACGGAAGTTTCTTCTTACCTTTTTGCGAATAAGGGACATAACACCGATGCGGGTGAGGACGTGTTGCCGTGACAACCCTTCTCTGGGGACACCGTCAGCAAAGGTCTCGGCCCCGTCGGCTCCAGGCTCACACAGGTGACGCATAAACAGAGAGACGTAGGCTCTGAGAGGTAGAAGAAGTACAAAATAAAAAGTTAATTTCATACAATATCGGAGAAACAATATGATGCAACATGAAAATGACTGAACTGTGATTTTTCTTTCATGGAGTGGGAATAGTGAGCTTTGTTGGAGGGCTGATGGTCATAATATTGTGCAAAAAAGAGAAAACAATTGAGTAACCGTATTTGAAAACTTCACTTAGTGTAAACAGTTTAAATCACAGGAGTAGCAGCGATTCTTACTTGAACTCTTTCTCAGACTTCCCTCGCAGGTCTCGAACCAGCCACTGGGTGGTGAAGGCATCTTGAGGAGGCATGCCATAACGCATCACGGCGTTCAGGAAGGCCTTCCTCTGCCGGGAGTTGAAACCCAACACCTAGGAAACAGCAGGAGATAAAACTTCAGTGTTCACATGCAGAACATGCAGTCAAGCCTCAGGGGGAAAGGTTACCACCCTTCACAGTTGTAGAAACACACAATAAAAACACTTTATATGTCTATAAACTGTCAATCTGTCTGCGGATCAATACTGATGTCAGTATGAGTCCTGGATATCCGATGCAGATCTTTAACAGAGGGATACCAAACGGGCCCAGACAAGAGCTGAACTGCTCACCTCGATGTTGCCTCCCACCCTGGCCAGCAGGGGGGGCAGCGGCTTGTCTTTGTCATTCCTCAGGCCCTTCCTGTTCGGCCTGCGAGAGTTGGCTGCCAAGAAGAAACAGCTGTTGTGAGTCTATGCTGTGTGCAAAGTCCTGCTTAAAGCTTATTATATTACATGCTTTAAATGCATTTTTTCTTTGTTGGCTGTTTTTAGGGTTTTTGAGCATCAAGAGAAACCTAAATGTTGTCATTATATCCTGTAATAATCAAGATAACACATTTCTGAAAGACAAACACTGGACTACAAATGATTTAGGGTTCAGACTGGAGGTTCAGTTGGTGTAAATGGAAATCGAAGGCTTCCAATTCAAAACCAATTCATGTTTTATAAATCAATAACATCCTACAGGCATTGCGCACATCTTCAGCATCAGCTCAACAAACACAAATATCGATTTTTACCTTCTGTTCTTTCGTCAAAGTCCTCGTCTCCCTCCTCTGAAGCCACGGAGTAATCTGACTGGCCGTCCGACTGGTCGTCCTGCCAATCAGCTTTAAGACAAACACAAGAGAAAGATTTTACAGGACTTCAGTGAGCTGTCATTCTCTTTTTATATGTAAAGAAACACAGCTAATGTGTCATGAACTGTAACTACAGTCTGGTATTACAGAACATACGTGCACTTATGGTTGGTCCAACATTTTCCTCCTTTTTGCTAAATGCTGAGATCATGGAAGTTCTGTGCTAGGCATTGTGGGTAATGTACTTGCACAAATTTGTTGGTGACATCCACCTGACCTTCATGGAATAGTTGAGGGCGGCTAAACAACTCTGTATCATGTTTTTGTATTACTCCAAGCACCAAACAGTAAAAGCTAAGTAAACTCACCATCAAAATTCAAAGTTAAGTACTCTCTCTAAAGTCTCTTTTTGTAATTTTATACTTTTTAAAATAATAATAAATATGATACTATGAGTCTCTGTGACTTATTGCCACAATAACTGCATTCTACTGAAAATCAGTGATTAGAAGGACTTCGCTGGGATCAATATGACAAAAATTTTGGGACTTTTCAGCTGAACTGCAGGCTGTGTTTACAGAGAGGAGATTGACAAGGATGCAAACAAATTAAAAATATTACCAGTTAAATATCCATAAGCTGTTTCGAGTACAGATGGTTAATACCTTTGGATCATATTGCTCCTAAATACACTCATAAAGCTCGAAACTCAAAAATAAAATGAACTTAACTGAATCAATCTTTTTGGAGGACAAGTAACAGTTTAGATCTGTAAATTCAATGAAAAACTGTCTTTAGTGGTAGCCCTGATTACAGTAGATCAACTAGGGATTCACCAATTAACCAAGTACAATAATTAACTGACAGAAAGTCACCTGTGATTTCACCTAGTTATGAAGGTTAGTTAGTTTTCTGAAACACTGTAACCAACAACTACACGCAGTGACAGAACTAATCATTTTAAGCCCATGTCATCTCCACCTGCAGGAGGAGCTAAGCTGTAGTTCCCCCAAGTTGTGGTCAGCATTGCTGTGTGAAAACTCACACAAACCTTTAAAGTGTCTGAGAGCCAGTTCTTTTCGACTTCCATTGTGCAGCTATTATCTGCCATCAAACCTCGTACATTTTGAGCCTAGATGCAACTGTGCTGAGTTTAGTTTATTGTATTTAGATCATTCTCGTCAAGCTGCTTGTGTTTTAGGACACAAAATACTGATGATTTTAAGAACTTTCACGCAATTTGCTGAATAATATTTTCACAAACATTTATTTTTTTCTCCCTTAAAGTAAGATATCAAAAGAAATATCAGTATTGTTCCAGATTATTAGCACTGACAACTGATCATTTAAAACAATGCCCCACTCAAACACAACCCCATGATTGAAGCATTATGAGAAGCCTTAACTTAAGCTTGAGTAGTACTTTCATAGCTCCCATAGATAAATTCCTGAAATGTGAATGTCTCAAACTCTGACTGATTGCACTTTAGGTTAAGAACTCCTTCAAAAAACCCAGAAGCGCTGAAAAAATAGAAATAATCTCGTACCTCTGTCTTCTTGTGAGCCGTCATTGTAGTTGACCTGCTTGCGGATACGTTTGCCTTTTCCCAGGTTTCGGGCCAGATCCTCCTGCTGCTGCTCGTAATGGTGACGCAGCAGCTTCTCCCAGTAGTCTGGATCCACACTTTCCTCCTGCTTGATAATCTCCCGCTGCACCTCCTCTTCCTGAGCGACGGGGTGAAGATGGAAAAACAAGTTGAGAAAAAGAACACGGCTATGTGGATGAAATGTCATATTGCATCCATGTCAGCAGGTGCTCACCTCCTCCTCCTCGTCTTTGACCACATATTGAGCCACTTTGAAGGAGCTCAGGTATTCGTTCATGCTCTGCAGCTCCGTGTCGTCTGTGGCGTCCTGGTTCCTGTCCAGCAATCGGTCAATGGCCTTGTCGTCGTAGTGAATGATGCTGCTGTCCTCCTCTTTGTTCTCCCCTGAAGACAAACATGAGCTGATGTAACTCACTTTGCCCCCTCCAATTCATCAGTCCATGTATATCTGCACTTTAATCCATCCTCACCTTCTCCCTCGTCCTTGAAGAGCTCCTCTGTTCCAAACTTGAGGATGTCGTCCAGTTCCTGTTTGGACATGGAGCCGGTCTTGGATCCGAGACCAGGTCGGACCACCAGGTGAGTCAGCATCATCTTTTTCTTGGCAACCTGGACAGAGAGGCAGCGAGGAAGGAAAGATGAAGGAAGCACAGATGAAAATTGTGTTACTACAAAATGTTATATTCTAACCCTCTGAACCCCTAAATCTGCTGGCAGGTTTAAAAGGCATGATACTACAAAAAAAAAAAAGTATCACATTACACCATTTATCATCAAGAAACTGAAAATAGAAATAATAATTCAGATTTGTAACTTTCTGACTGTCTTATCACTTACCATGTCTGACTTTGATGTCATCTGAAAATGTACTGCATCTAAGCTTAAAATAGTGATACTTCATCAAAATCACTTTTTCTACATGCCTCATTTAAAAAGTCACCAGACTTTGCCAAAGATAAATTGTTTGCTCGAACCAGATTCTGTAAAAAACTAACAATTTTTTGCGCCTTGTTGCAACTGTGATGCCAGGACCACTCAGGTTTTGTACCAGTTGCACGGCAATATTGTTATGTTTCAAAATTTAGTTCAAAGCTTCAGTTCAAATCTTCTTAAATCTTCTTATCTACTCATTTGTAAGGCAATACTTGCTAACTGCCAAAGCCTAAAGACATTCAAAAGTCCTTAAATTTTGTGTGCTACACCTGTCGCGTTTACCTGTGTAATCCTCTCTTCCACTGATGCCTTTGTAACGAAGCGATAAATCATCACTTTCTTGTTTTGACCGATACGATGAGCTCTGCTGAAAGCCTGAACACAAAGAGGAAACAAAGATGCACATTTCAATAAAGGAAAGAAGCAGTTTTAACTAATTTACAATGTGAAATTAAAGGGTGACCGTGCTGTACCTGGATATCATTGTGAGGATTCCAGTCTGAGTCGTAGATGATGACGGTGTCGGCGGTGGCCAGGTTGATACCCAAACCTCCTGCCCTCGTCGACAGCAGGAAGGCAAACTGCTGGGCGCCAGGAGCTGAGGGACGAAGATGGTGAAGACTCAGAAAAAGCTCAAAAAAGAAAAGTCTGTAAAAGAATGTGAGCTGATGTGTAGAGAAGAGTAACAAGAAACTCAATAAAAAGTGAAGTAAAGATTACAGAAGAATGACAAAAGGGGAAAGGGGTAGATTGTAGTTTGTGTTTTCAGTCTCACCATTGAAACGATCAATAGCTTCCTGTCTCATCCCTCCTGTGATTCCTCCGTCAATCCTCTCGTATTTGTAGCCCTCATTCTCCAGGAAGTCCTCCAGCAAGTCCAACATCTTGGTCATCTGAAAAATAAAGAAAAGAAAGTTTGTTAATGTATTTTTACAGATGATCAAGCAAAAGTAGCTTTAGCATCAGAGTGTTTATGAAGCATCTCATACCTGGGAGAAAACGAGCACTCTGTGTCCCCCCTCCTTCAGCTTCCTCATCATCTTCTGCAGTAACAGCAGTTTCCCAGCAGCCTTTGTGAGAGCGGCTCCGTCGTACATCCCATTGGGCATCTTTGGAGCTTCCTGTTTGAAACGACCAATCAAATGGCAAGGTTTTGTAAACTCTGAAATGACTGCAGACAAATTTTGTCAACGGTAGATCTAAAAAGAATATTTAGACATATCTTTTCTAAAATGAAAACTGACTCCAGTTAAATCACATACAGTAAACACCCTTGTTTGATGAATATTTACCAGAGTGGAAATCTAACACATCCTTAAATCATGGTCATTTCTTTAGTGTCCTGTCAAAATTTTTCCTGACAAATTAAATTAGATCTTTTTCTGTATTACAAAATGAATCAGCTGATGGCCTCTCGCTGGCATTTGGGTCGTACCATTGCAGCTGCAGGGAAGAGGTAGGGGTGGTTGCAGCATTTCTTAAGATCCATGACGACGTTGAGCAAAGAAACCTGATTTCCGCCTCCTTTGGTGTTCAGGGCCTCAAAGTTTTTCGTCAGGATGAATTTGTAGTATTTCCTGCAACGATACAAATATTTAGCCTCAGCGTTTTCCCATACTAGACTCTCACAAGGATCAGTATCATCTACATAGACCCGTGTAGTGCTCCTTCTGCCCTCTTGACTCACTTCTGCATTGGACTGAGCTCTACCCTGACAATGAGCTCGGTCTTGGAGGGCATGTGCTTGAAGACGTCGGCCTTCAGCCTCCTGAGCATGTGTGGACCCAGCATGTCGTGTAGCTTCTTAATCTGGTCCTCCTTAGCGATGTCGGCAAACTCCTCCAGAAAGACCTCCAACTTGCTGCAGATGGAGACACAGACAAGTAAGTTACCGTGCAGTGGGATTTTATTTTATTATGACTTTAAGTACAGAATGCAGCTGCTGTGAATGTTTCTTTTTTGTGTCACCTGTCTTATGTGGACTCTCTGTTCCTTAGTGCTGAATTTATTACTTCATAATAAATTGCTTCTGTTCTAGTAGCCTGTCCTGGCATTTTATGACTGAACAGTACCAGCCACAGTATTTTTCACAGTCAGTTTAATGCAGCATCATTATAGTTTTCGGTGGCTACAGCTAAAACGACCGACATTATATTATAAAAGGGTCACAACATACAATCTTGGGGTTCATGAGAAGTTGAAAAGAATGGAGTAACACAAAGCACATTTCTGCAACACAAACCTACGGCGTTTTGCTTTTTTGCTTAAGTCGCTGGGCAAGTTAAACCCTGCAAGACTTACAACGCTTAAATAAAAAACTGAGATGAAATAGATGTGCAACCTGTATAATAGTTGTTTTAAGGGTTCACAACAAAAAAAAGGTTGAAGAAAATTCTGCTTTACAAGAAAAGAAGATGATGTTTATGTATCCATGTCCAACAAGGATTTTGTATGTTGAAAATATTAGTTTCATGAAAGTTTTCAAACTAATCTATAATCCTATGAGCTCTATGAGGCTATTTTCAGGATAATTTCACCGCTTCTAGCCAGCCATGACTTACCTGAATCTTTCAGGTGTGAGGAAGTTGAGCAAGTGGAAAAGCTCCTCCAGGTTGTTCTGTAGTGGAGTTCCAGTCAGCAGCAGTTTGTGCTGCAGAGGATAGTTGTTCAACACCCTGAAAAACTAAAGCAGAGGACACAAAGAACAACATGTTTACATCTTATTGTCCAGTGTGACTTGAAAAACAGTTGCACATATTTACTGCAGTTTTAATACAGTAGTTTACAAGAAATAACCTTGTAGACAAACAGAGAAATGATTGAGATAATAAAGCTTATGATTCAATCATGTAATAAAGCATTAGGTGGGTTTTTATAGTTAAATACATTTATTGCCTGTTTCATTCATACAACAGCACAGAAAGATTGCATGGTGGGTGGTTTGAAAATTTCTGTGTCTGCTATTCTAAAGCATTGGCATGTGAGTTGGTATACCTTGGACTGGTTGTTTTTCAGCCTGTGTGCCTCGTCCACCACCAGACAAGCCCAGTCTATGGAGCCCAGGATGGCCATGTCGATTGTGATCAGCTCGTAGGACGTCAGCAGAACGTGGAATTTGATGGACGAATCTTTCTGTCAGAGGGAATCGACACCAAAGACCTTTAAGTCTCGCTTCGACCTAAATGTTCTCGCATATATACAGAACTTCCTGACATTTCCATTCCCGCCTTCTTTAACCATTGCGTCCTCTCACCTTCATCCTGGAGGCCTTCTTCCCTCCTCGGATGGCATTATCCTCAAAGGAGAACTCATTTTCTCTGATGACAGCTCTGCTGTCCTTGTCTCCAACATACGTCACCACATACATGTCGGGTGCCCACATCTCAAATTCTCTCTCCCAGTTGATGATGGTGGACAGCGGGGCACTGACCAGGAACGGCCCTTTGGAGTGACCCTGAAGTGAAGAGAGGAAATCAGTATGACATGTCCTACACCTGGAAAAATGTTGGAAATGATGATTGGAGGTTTCTCAATTTTTGTAAAGTAAATGATCATAGAATTTCAGCCTTTTTTTTAAAAAAAAAAAAAGAGGTTATATGATCTAAAACATAACTGTGCCACACAGCACAGAAGACATTTTGAGTTCACATTGCAATAAAAATTGAAGCCACAGGGGGTAAAAAAGCGGCAACATCAGAAAACGGCCAGAAAGTGGTTGGAGTTCAGCACTAAACAAATTTAAAACACGTATAAAGGTCAACACAAACGGAGACGCTGGTAAATCCTGACTTGAAAACATAAAAATATGGGGCGTAAAAAGTTAAAAATTACTACACTAAGTTGGAGGAGCTCTTGTGGCTCTGGCAGGAAGTGTATTCTGGCCTCCCACCTTTAGGTGGCAGCAGCTGCACATATGAGAAGTGTCTGAATGTTTACTGTCTGGGATCCAACTTAATGTCGTCAGATTTCACCTGACTTATACAAAATGGCTGGATGGCTCCTGACCAATAGGATGACAGCCACCTGCAGCCACACACAAAAAAAAGTTTCAACAACAGCTGTGAGCTAATGACTGGATAAAAAAGGTCAAATTAACTAATTTTAAACTGAATATAAAATTAATTTAATTTAATTAAGATCACAACAAGGACAAACTTTAAATTCCTAATTCAAGTCTCCATTATGTGTTGAGTTCATGTAAAAGCTCAGATTTCCAACAAACCGGTTAAGAATAAGCACTTCCATGGCTTTATTCCACCAAACCAGTGTATACAGTTTCATTGTGTTTGGCCCCTGAGGGAGTGTAACACATCTTCACAACAGACACACTCAACACAGCATCTCGCAGCTATGCACCTCTTTATACAGTGAGTAGAGGAAGACGGCGGTCTGGACCGTCTTTCCCAAACCCATCTCGTCGGCCAAGATGGTGTCGGTGCCCTGAGCCCAGGAGAACCGGAGCCAGTTGAGTCCCTCCAGCTGGTAGGGATGCAGCGTCCCCCCAGTGCTGTCCAAGTACTCAGGCTGACGCTCAAACTTTATTGTCGGCTAGAAACAGAAACACAGAGTTAAACAAAGACAGATCAACCTGAAGTAACTTATAAAGCAACTTTGTTTATAAAAAAAAAAAGGGAAAATCTGAACATCTAACTTTTCAGCAGGGATTTCAAAGTCAAAATAATCCAAAGTTCAGCAAAGGCAACAGAACTGCATCGATGTCGGTCTTAAAAGTACTTTCATATACTAATAGCTCCTCCCTGACCACATCATTTAAAAAATCTGCTGGAAAAATTAATCCATATTTTCTGTTGTAGGATACTTTCCTATATTGCAGTTAAAAATCCTGTAGTTTTATTCTTGGATTTAATACTGAGTTTAAGGGTCCAGTTAAGCTCTGAAAAATGTTTTAAAGGATGTTTCACACTTTTAAAGCTTATGCATTATTGTTTACATCTTTGATAAATTGTTAAGACAGTGGAACAAAGTGGCAGTTGCTGATTTATTCAGGTTACATATAAAGATTAAGAGTCATCAGTTTTGACTTACATCTATCACTGGGTTCTCAGGAGGTCTGTCCGGCCGCTTCACCCTTCCTTTCACCTTGATCTTCTTCCCAGGTTTGCCCTCCTCTCCCATCATTAGCTCTCTGAAACAAACAACAGTGTTAGTAAAGCAGTGTGTTTGAGGCTGCACTGGCTGTTAACACTGTTGAGCTGAACTCGTCTCACCTGTGGTTCCAATACTGCACTTTGTAGGGGTCAAACTCAGGTACGTCCATGTCCTCGGCCTCCCAGGTGGCCTGGTCGTACGGCAGCTCTCTCCACTTGATCAGGTAGTGGACGTTATTCTTCCTGTCCACACTGGAAAACATGGCAAAGAGAGAGAATGGGGAAATTTCACTTTCATTTTCAGGCTTGGTAGATGATTCACTCTGGAACAGTAAGCCTGAGACAAACATGTAAAATAGTACAAAAAAAACGTCCAACAGGACTTCTGTTGAACTGTAACGGAATTTGGATAAAAGCATGTGCTAAAATTTATGTCTTGTTTAAACCTCTGAACTCCAAAAACTGCCAGTGAGTTGACAGGCATGAATCACCAAAATTGGAGCATTTGTCATAGCCAGAAACTGCAAAAACAGAAAGAACTGTCAGAGATTGAATGTTCCTTGAACTACTAATCTAGTAATGTGCTATTTGGTTAGATTTAGATTTATTGTTAATCAAAATCCCAAAATTCATTTAAGAATTCACCAAAAATAAAACAATTGGTCAAACAGGGTCTGTAAAAAACTAAAAATATGATGGAACAGAGAAGACCCAACTAAAAAATAAAAATACTTACTATAATATATAAATAGTCAAATATCCAGAGCATGTGGAGCCACTATTTTTCCAGTATTGGTATGTCAGTGAGCAATTGACAAAACATTTTTTAATTTCTATAAAGAAGTTTATATCGCAGTGAAAAATGAACCCACAGTGAGTAGAAATTTAAAAAAAACAACCAAAAAAATAAAAAATTCCTGCATTGTCGTAACTCAAAATGGAACCGCTTGCCGATATGTAAGAAACATTTGTTAGAAAGATGTAATTAAAAACAAGTTTATGTAACTTAATGACAGATGGGTCCCACAGGAAAGACATGACACTGCAAAAAACTGGCCAGGTGTGGTAAAGGGTTCCTGTAACAGGCCAAGCTCGAGAGACTATCCTTGCAAAATAAAAGGTTAAATAACTACTACATTTAAAGGAGGGACAGAAAATTCAGGTTGAGTGGAGTTTTACCTTGTGAGAACATCTCATAAGCAGGAGTTTAATTATCATGACAACAGACATTTTTCATACTAAAAAAATCTTTTTTTACTCTGATAAAGATCATGCGGCATGTTTATTTTTATTGGGGTTCTGCTTTATTTTTCATAAAATACAGGACTTGATGCAGTATTTTAATTAAAAATACATTCTCCCTTAGCATGTAAAGTTGTCTGTGCTGACCTGTGGTTGAGGATGCGGTGGATCATCAGCCACTCCATCTTGATTCCAAAGCGGAGGTATTTCTCCTCCAGCTGAGCATACATGGGGTCCTTGTTCTTCCTCTTTACGCTCTTGTCCTCCTCTCCGTCGCCAAAGTCGATGGGCGGTGGCTCATCCATGTCGTTCTTCCTCTGGTAGTTCCTGAACATCACCTGGCAGTGCAGCTCCAGCTACGCGGGACAATGAAGGAAAAGGCTTAAGGAGGATATTTGCAGGAGAGCAGACAGTTTTTCAGGTTTGTCTATGAGCTGTACACACCTGGAGCTCTGTGACCCAGGAGCAGTGCCAGTACGACATGTTGGACCATTTGGCGAAGAACTCCCTCTCGGGGCGCCCGGCCAGCGGGGCGGGGTCGGGGGCATCGGGCGCGAGGTCTGGAGGGCGGGGCACCGGTGTGGGAGGAGGAGGGTCTCCCCATCGCCAGGTCAAGATCTTCTGAACCTTCCCTTTCATGGGTGGACACTGGAGGGGAGGCAGAGAGGGTAAATTATTAGTTTATTGTTTTATTCCCACTTAATCTCTCAAGTATCTCAATGGCCTGGGCCCACAGCATAAAGGACCAAACAAGGTTTGGGAGTTTAGTTATTTTGCTGGCCGCTGCTGGAACAAGCTCCCTGTAGCCATTGCTAAAAGTAAGCTAAGATATATTCCACTGTTTTTCATTAATCAGTTATATTATAAAGTCTGGTTTAAACTGCCAGTACTTTTAAACTTCATCTTCAACATTATGTATTGGTAAATTTTGTCTTTACTGCTGTTTTACTAAGTTGATTTTAATGATTCCATACCATTTGCATGCAATTTATTCAACTTCAACATCGTCTGTATATTTTTCAAATAATTTTTAAAAATCTAAATAATTTAATTTTACTCTGATGTATTTTGTATTTCACCTCTTTTATGTCTATTTTTTTCAATTTTGCCTGTACAATCAGTTTGAATAACCCCATGTATATGATAAGGTGCCATACAAATCAAGCTGCCTGCCTACCAATGTTTTTTTTGATGTCATGAAGTTTAACCACATTAAAGAGAAAATCTGGAAAATTAATAACCAAATCTCAAAAGCTCTAAATCGTTATACTCATCAAAATCATTTTACTGTACATATTCTATCAAAACAAACAATGCCAAAAACTATGTTGCATCTACTCAAACTCAGGAAAAAAACAAAAAAAATGATGCGCTCAGTCAAGCCATGACTGACTGACAAAGACTCAAATTCTTTTAGTGATGAACTGGGCTGAACTGCAGGCTATGCTTTCACAGAGCAGAGGGGAGACAGAGAGGACTTTATATTGCAGCGAAAAATAAGCCCCCAGTGACGAAAACAGTGTGACCAGAATCAATAAACACACAGAAATTGCTTGAGGTTCTGAAGGGTAATCACAGATGAGAAGAAAGAAGGTTGTGGTGATGAGACATGACAAAGCTCCCATCTGGTTGATGATTTTCCCGACCAACTGTATGTCAGAACACTTCAGAATATGTGCATGTGAGTTAAAATAATTAGTAAACAACTATGAGTTTATCAGCTGCTATTTTAAAAATCCATTTTTTTGTCAATTTTCTCAGAAAAACAACCAAAAAATGTGTGGATTTGCTGTAAGTATTAAAAACCTGCAGCAAAAGTCGATATTTATGAGCAGCAGAAATGGTGACACATCATTTTCTGACATTTTAGAGATGAAGCAAAACATTAAGAAAACAATCAGTAGATTATTTGATAATAAAAAATACTGTCATAGCTGCAATGAATTATTTTGATAACTGTGTAATCTGCTGCTAACATTCTTCAGTAATTGTGTGTTAAACACCCCTTTAAATTCAATGAAATAGTTGTAAAGTAATTGTCTGTTAACCAACTGAGAAATGGCCCAATTTTTACAGCTCCAATAATTATTTTCAGCTGCAGCTTTATGTACAAACAATTCTCAAAACTCGATTCTCAAAACAACCTCTAAATTCATCAGATATATATGTAACTCTTGCCAAACATGCACTAAAATATGTGCTAAACGCTATCAGATCTGCTTCATGTTTCTCCTCTGTGGAGTTGGTTGTGGGATGAAACCATAACAGTATTTTTAAACTACTAATCCAGCACAAAAAAAAAAAAAAAAAAAACCTGGATCAGAGAGAAACCTCTACTCCTCTGACAGATCAAACACTGCGTCCATCCCCCCAGCAGTCACCTCATCTGACCCTGGCTGTTGGCCAACTCACCGTGCAGCGGGGGCAGATCCACTCTCCGTTGGGGATCTCGGGGAGCGGTGGGTTGAGGCAGTGGATGTGGTAGGACGAGGGGCACGAGTCGCAGCAGAGCAGCTCTCCTCCGTCTTTACAAACCCTGCAGAACTCCATGTGGTGGTCGTCCTCCTCCATCTCTCCCGCCTCGCCGTTGTCCTCCTCAGCATCTGAGCCTTCTTCCCGGGCTTCCCACTGGATGCCCTCCTTCTCCTGAGACAGAAGTAGTACGAAATGGAAGTTCAGGTTTTATACTTCAAGCTTGTTTGCCCTTCTGTTAAACTTAAAACAAATCTTGATTTGAGGGTTATGATCCATGCTTAACAAGATTTAAAAAAACAAAACAAAAAAAAAAAACATGCTGTAATAACTGCCTTTAAAATGTTTCAATATTGAGACCACCTGCTGACAATGTTGGTATTCTCTACACGGGGTTTCCAGCTTTTGCACCTTCCTTAAAGAAATATTACACTGAAAGTTAAGCTGCATGATATAGCAAATGTTAATCATGATCACAATTTTTGCTTCCCACATTTAAATGAACATGATCAAGGATTTTATATTGCAGCAAATAAGCGGTCAGTGAGGAAAAAATTGAAGTTCTGAGAAGTTAAGTGCCCAAATTGTAGAACAGCCAATGCACTTGGTGTCATTTGACATAACTCCTTTTGTCACTCTTTTTGTAAAAAATCTTGGTCCCACACCTGTCCGAGCTGCCTATCATTCTGGCCCTCACTGTCTTCTGAATATCTGACACGAAGTGTTGGTTTATCCTAAAATAGAGCAAGGTTTGTCTGACAATGTTGTAAACCAAAAGTATTTACATATAATTGTTTCCAGTGGTGGTCTGGAAGGCAGCCTTCACAAGAGGACCAACATAGTGTTGTTTGAATATCAGGTTAAAAGATGTTTTCTATTAAACTGAACATATGGATCAACTTCAAAAAAGTAGATCAGATGACAGCTGAAGTTGCTTTTTCTCCCATGACTTGCCATGGGGAAAAAAAAACTTAAAGGCGGGATATTGCTTTAAGTGGCCAGGACCAGGAAGATACAAGTATGTCTCTTACACAGTGTGGGCAGCTCCAGGTGCCCTCAGGGGCCTTTTCCATGTCGGGGTCCAGGCAGACCATGTGGTACGCTCTGGGACAGGTGTCGCACAGGATGATCTCTCCACCCTGCTGGCAAACCTCACAGTAGTCCTGGTGGTCTGTCTCGTAGCCGTCGCCATCCTCTGCTTCTGATAAAAAGGGCAAAGCAGTTTTAGAAAAACAGCTCTTCCATGTAGAAATACAGGATGTAATACATGCTGTGATCTGGTCTCAGCGTTTACAACACTGCAATGTGTGTTTTGTTGTTTGTGAGAGGAAAACCCACTCAGTGAGTCACCCTTTCCCCTAAGGTATGGATTTTCTCAATAACACCAACAGACTGAAACTCAAGGGTTTCACTGCACAGATAAAAATAGCAACATTGAAAACAGATTCTCAAAGCTAATTTCTTCAGCTTTTGCTAAAACCTCACAACTTTTCATCTAGAGTTAATACAGGGCTTAAGAGACATGTGTATTTACATTCTGCCAGGGCGGCTGCAGCATTTAAGGCTGCATCTGACATGTCTGAAAGAACGTGTGCATATTTTAGCAGATTTAAGGTCAAGATGTTTAGCAACAAACCCTAAACTTTCACTCCGAGTAATCCAAAACTGAACAAAACACCACAGCTGTAAAGATTTCCATCCAGCAGCAGCAGCATCTCTGCGAGGACTCTGACCTCTTTCAGTTCCCAATCTGAATCCATCCGTGACGTTGCGTGAACGCTGCTTCGATCTTGTGACAGCAGCTACAGAGGATGCGTCAGTAGGCGACAAACGAGACGAAGATGTTGTCTTCTAAATATACCAAACACTGCTGACTCAGTCTCAGTGACTAATGTGTGTGTGTGTGTGTGTGTGTGTGTGAGTGAGTACACCTCCTCATGCTGTTGTGCATTCCACAGACTTTACCCTGAAAGCAGTTATTACCATTTGCCACTGAACACTTAACCTGCAATCTTCGGTCTGTATTGACACCTATTGAGCAGTAACTGAGTCAGCAGATAAAATATCACAAAAATCTGGTAGGTTCGTAAGGCATATTACCTATAAAAAGAAAAAATCACCTAAATGACATTAGGTATCAGCCAGAAATGTAAAAACAGACACATTGGATTTCAACTTTCCAACTGCCATTGAACTACTCATCTGTAATATGTAATTTTCTAAAGGGAAATGAACCAAATCTAAGCTTAAACTCATGCTATTTTATTGAAAAGTTCTTTATTTTCTCATTCAAAAATGTGCCAAAAATAAACATCTTCGCTAACCAGATTCTGTAAAATGTGAAAAAAAATCTGCACTCCTTAACACAACCATGAAGAAGCCATGACCAACACCGCTGTGACCAACTGTCACGTGAAAGAAATTCAGCGACTTTTAGGCTGAACAGCAGGCTGTGTTCAAACATGTGTGACAGGATGGAAACTGATAATATTTAAAGTTTCTCGATTGTTTTCAGAATTGGTAACATCTGTGGACACTTGGAAAAATATTGTACACGAGATTCCATGTTTTTTAAGTTTTTGTAAGATGAATAATCTAAGAAAACCAACTGTTTTCTGTTTCATCTATTATGAGGGATTCTAACTGTCATGCTGCACAGACAACATTTTTGAGTTGTCTGTACTATTATCCATTGTTGTGCTCTTTTCATAGAGGTGCAAGACTTTATATCGCTGTGAAAAATGAGCCCACAGCGAAGAAAAATGCCTGGAAACTGCTTGGAGGGTTAACTGAAAGTCTCATGCAGTGTGGGCATGAAGACATACCTTTCTTTTTCTTGGGTTTGCTCTTGGACGGCTTCTTTTTGCTGCGGCTGCTGCGACTGTTTGATCCCTCTGAGACGGAGACACTGTTCATGCTGCCGTCTTCAAAATCACTGTCTACATCAGGCTCGTCCTCCTCGCTCTGTGAACACCACAAATACAAAAAAATCCAGCTGTGTTAAGCACACTGTCCTGTACATGCAGTGTATGAGCACAATGGTGGGTTCAGTAAAAGTACAAGAGGCAGTTCATACAGATGAGCGTTTCCTCTTGCTGTTGAAGCCTCCCAATTTGATTTTGAGAGGAGCCACTTTCTTTGTCTTGGCGTTATTCTTCTTCTCCTGTGGCTTCGGAGCAGGTTTTGACTTCTTGCGGGCATTGGGCCCTGCAACAACAACAGACAAGCAGGTCAGTCACACAGAGACCCAAAAGGTAATAACAGAGAACTGAACCTGACATTCAAATAGCTGTTCTGTAGAAGAAGTGCTGTTTCATTTGACTCTCCTGTTGGCTGTACCTTTGCCTTCCTTGGTCTTGGCCTTCCGGAGTGGTGGTGCAGCGGCCTGCTGTGGCACTGCTGGTGGCGGTGGGGCAGGAGCAGCTGGAGCGACCTCTGCCACCATGGTGTCCACAGCGGCCGGTACGTTGGCGGTAGCCAGAGCGGCGTTGGCAGCGGCAGCTCCCCTCAGGGGGTTATTGGTGCTGAACTCACGCCACTTGGCGCCCAAAACCATCATCATCTTAGACACAGCGATCTTGGGGTTTTTGGCTGCGATGAGAGGCCTGGTGGTGAGGAAAATAAACGTTTTAAATGTGGTCTGAGTTAATTTTTTAAACAGACTTTCAGTATCACCAAACATGGTTGTAGTTAATGTTTAACACATTTGGGTGACTGTAGGTTGTGTCAAGAGAAATTTTACTTACAAAAGTACAACAAATGAAATTTCTGTTTAAAAAAATACTAGCCAGAAACTATCAAGACAGAAGTAATCTTTAGATTTTTAACCTACAGTCCTTGAACTACTCATCGGTGACATGTCGTTCTGTCGGAAAACTTAAATCTAATTTGGAAATCATAATATTTCACTGAAATCACTTTATTCTACATGTCTTTTAAAACATTTCCAAAAATTAACCATTTCCTCGAACCAGATTCTGTAAAAACAAAACAATTCAGCACTCCTTGGGGCAACATTGAAGCCATTTGTAACCCAGCTGTGACCTATAGTCCCTTAACAAAATTCTGAAACTTTTGGCTGAACTGGGCAAAAATGCAGGATTCTCTCTGCTCTGTGAGGCAAAATGTGGCAGGAGTAAAAAACCAAAACCAAACCAACCAATTTAAAAAAACACACCCAATAACTGATTGGAGGTCAGAGCTTAAAAGAGCCTTTCAAAACCAAAACAACATTCCCAATTTTTATGGCCTCGTAAATGCTTCCATGGTATCACTTGCCAGAGGTGGCAATGTTAAACATGGATTTTCCAGAAGATTATTGCAAATGTGTGTATCTACCTGACAAACTGGCTGAAGGCCTTGTAGTTGGTCAGAGACCGGTAGTCTTCCTCACTGAAGACGTGGTCGATGTCCTCCATGCCCCAGTCATCCAGCAGCTGAGATGACGACTTTGGCTCCTACAGGAAATATATATTCACAATTATTAATATCAGCAAAAAACTCTAAAAATGTGCAACAATGGTTTCATAGATAAAACATGAACACTGCAAGAAATCCATAAAAAGCCACCAAAGGCCTGGGTTTAGGTGCATCTGTGCTGTTAGTCACTCTGTACACGTAAAGGGCCTAAGGATATACAAAAAAACACCATGTTGACAGATATTTGCAATTGTGATATACGGATTTTAGTGAGAGTGATAATTTTGTTTTCTTTCTTTCTTTTAGACCAAAAATTAATTTAATAATAAAGATTTATATGATTTTTACCGCAGTCTGCCCCAAACAAGCATGTTTCCTTATGTGTGGGGATATGATTTATAAGGCAGCATGTCTCAGATATGTTTTCCATTTTATGGATATTGCACATAGCCATATTGCAATAATATTTCGATGAACCGTCCGGCCCTAACCAAGACTGAATTATTCTTTATCGTAAAAAAACAGTGCTTAGATGTATATCTTTATCAACTACTGGGAAAAAAAAAAGACATTAAGAAGACACAAAAAACATGTCCCCAGCGTCAGGTCATGGAGCGCAAAACGATTCACATCTAAAGTGTCTAAAAAACACTCAACTGGCAGTTTTGTTTTTTGTTGTTTTTCTCTTTGAGGTGTTATCAATTGATTGGATGACCACAAAATGGAGTGATGGAGAACCTGGTTAAGCAAACGTGACCCAACAGGTGCAAAGCCACTCTGCCATAATTCAAAATCAGCTCAAGAGGTATACGTAACACACTCTGGCTGCATGATTACACCACTGACTGATCATACACAAACTAAGTGACCAACACGTGGGACAAGCTGTGACTTTTCATGTGAATCTGTGGCATAAAACCACACTGCATCTTTTCATTGTGATTTTTTTATTTTTTTTTTTTAATAAAGTGTTGCTGTGTCCCTGTGCAGCAAAAAAGCCACTTCTTACAAAAACACTTTTGTTCCCTCTGTGCACATCAGCAGGAGCCTCCTACAGTGGCCTTATTTTTACCTCACAATAAACAAAATTACTTAGCCGCGGACGCTTACCTTATCAGTGGAATTACAGCGTTTCCTAACAACTGGATTTCATTTGACATAACTACACCAGCAGACCACGTTTGCACGGTTGAGAGGTTTGAGTGGCGAGTGAAGAGGCTCTAAAATTAGCATCCTGCAGCGAAGCAAATTGACACTGACCACTGTGTTTCTAGAGATAATTGCATTAGATTGCTTGGTGATACAGTTACTAATTTAGTGCCAGTAGAGTTGATTTGTTATTGATAATTAATATGAATGATTAGTCATTTATCAGGAGCATCTGGTTTTTACATGGTGAAGATTTGACGATGGCCTCAATTTGTGTCTCTGCTAATTGTAAGCAGTATTTCTCCAGCACACACAGACATTTTTGGTGCTTTTCAAAGAGGTTTTAGGCAGCGCCAATAGAAAATCACCAGCACTAAAATGATAAGACTAAAAACTAGGTTTAATTGGGGGTTTGTTTACTCAAGAATGTTAATCTCAGCTATTAATTAAAAATCCAGAAATAACAGGAAATTGTAAAGATTTTTGTCAAATAACGTAATACAGACTCAATGTCTTTACTGTATGCAGAGCGATCATGCATAGTCACGTCCCAAAGGCCCGTTGTGATGAAGGCATGACCCTGGTAAGCTTTCATTTTCCTTGATCAAAATGCTGACATTCGAACAGAAATTTGTTCTAATATTTAATGATACATTTAAAAAAACCAATTAACTGACAGTATAAATAGTCATTTGTAAACCGCCTAACTCTGTCAAACCTTCGTCCCTGCTGTCCAACTCTCACCTCTGACCACAAGCCAATTTATATCAAAGCACACTACAACTAGCAATTATTTTCAGTCGATTACTAATTATGAGTAAATAATTATTCATTTGGTATACAAAATGCCAGAATATAGTGAAAACACAACAAGTTAACGCCTACATAATGACGACTAACTGTCCAAAACACAAAACGCTTTCAGTTCACTGTAACATTAGACAAAGAAAAGCACCAAATCTTCACAATTAAATAACTTGAACCGATAACTATTTATCATCTTTGCCTGAAAAATCACTTCAACAATTAGGTTTATTTATCAAACATTTCTATCAGGTATTTCCTTTTAGCTCTGTACCAAACTTGCTTCAGAGTGGCTGCCTTCATACAGTCTAAACTGCCATTTTTCTCTTGGCAAAAAATTAAAAGTTTCTTTTGAACTGCAGCTTTCCCCCCCGTCTCCAAAGGCTAAATTCCCTTCAGAGGGTGAGCAGAGAGGAGTTTATTTCAGCTCCTATCAGTTTGATAAAGACACCTGGTTTCCTGCACTGTGCCACCCTGCACCTTCCTCTGCTTCCCATCTCGTCGCCTCGCAGAGCGGCCTGCAGACCGGATTGAGGGCGGCTCTGCCAATGAATCAAAATGTGTTTATCTAACCAAAAAGAAAAGGGTCAAGTGCGCAGTGCAGTGCGGGGTTGCCATGGTAACAGCATATATGCCTTGCACACCCGTCCCAGACACACAAACACACACACACCCCCACCACCACCCACCCCCCTTGCGCAAGTCTCATTAACTACAAGGCCCCCTATTGGCCGACGGGCTGCGACTCCACCAGACGCAGCTCTTTGTTTAACCATCTCTCATATCACGTCTCTGTTTTGTCAAACCACGGCCAACTCCATTACAGGTACGCAGTCAATAGGTGCTCATCCCGGTGCAAAGAAAGGGCTGTTACAAAAGTTATTTTCCAACAAAAGAGCAGCTTCTGGAATTGGACCACATGCTAGATGCTTGACATTTCAAACAAACAACAAAAAAAGGTGCATGTACCCTACTTTCAGTAACATTAGCGCTGCACCCCACCATATCTCTACAGTTCCTACGTTTGTGCACACTTTACAAACAACTGTGCAAGTGTTTTTTTAATGCTTTGGCCCCTTTACTTCAACTAGCACATACTTAACATGAGCCATGAATATAAATACACCTGCAAATAATGCAAGAAAATTGAATCTACGCAATTTTAAATAATTCAGTCAGCATAGTGGAGTGCATTCATTTCTGCACATTATAAGATTTATTAGCAGATCCATGCTGTAGTTGTGCAATCCATCACAGAGAACATCAACACAGTGTTCCTCTGTGGTAAAGTTAGATTATCTATAGAGCAACTGGGGAAAAGCACATCACAAATCTTGAACTGCATAGCATCCAGGGTTTTTCCTGGCTCAAAGTGGTCTTTTGGGGGTGACTATGCCCAACAGTAAGCATTATCAGTTCCCCTGCAGTACAGGCAATGAGTCTGTACTACTGGATTTGAGAGAAATCTGTCCTTTTTCTCGTCTTTTGTGAACATTTCGGAACAAAAATGTCTATTATAAAAATGCCTCTATGCAGGAAAATCCAAACATCAAAAATTTTGACCACAAATCCATGCACAATTTATATTTTTAGATATAAAACCTGCAAATTGGAAATACACTTGTGGTTTCTAAAAAGCACCGTTCAAGATTTTTCACACCTACACACACAGAATCACACCTGTGCAGCGACAGAAAAACAACATTTGCAGATCAGTTAGTAGGAGATTTACCAACTGCTCTTAGAAAAGCACCAAACTACATTTTATTGTGTGATAAACATAATGGACATCGTGTCTTATTATGCCTGATGTATTGTATGGTGCTTGGGTGTTTTGAAAAACGGCATCAAATAAAACTTAGTGATTTTTACCACCTATCTCATTTTGGAATGAAACTTCTTCTATTCAATTATCTGACATGATCAAGTTTGACCAACTGAACATAGATCAACACACAAGCTGCTTATGGCAGACCCTCAACTTGAACTCAAGTCATTTTTAATGCAACAGTGTGATTAAATTTCACAACTGCATGCAAATTTTAAAATGAATGTTATTAAAATGCTATATTTTTCTGGGGTTAAGCAGGCACTTTTCTGTCTGATTAGGATTTAACTGCTCTTTACCCTTCAGCCCCGACAAGCAATACATGAATACTTCCCATCTGATTCTTTGAGAGAAGCCTCACTAAATCACTTTCACCTCCTCAAAAATCCATCCTTACCGACATATCATCATCATCGTCGTCCTCATCCTCCTCTGGCTCCGGATCTTTCTTTTTAGATGCTCCAGCACTGCTCCTCTTCTTTTCTTTGCCGGTGCTGGCCCTCTTCTTCTTCTTGCGTCCTGGAGTGTAGTCGCTGCCCTCACTGTCAGAGCGCTGGGCAGGGCCACCGTCTTCTGCCTCTTCCGCTCCACCCATGTCCATGGGCTCTGGGGAGCTGATGGCTAACTCCTAGAACAAGGAGGAGAAGGGATGGTGGTCAGCAAATGGAGACCAAAATGTCAAAGAAATACAAGGAAACAAGACAGAGAAACTAATTTCTCCCTGGAATTTGGCTACACTATTCGTGAAGTTAGAGCACATTTGTGAATGAATCTGGTAATGATAAAACAGAGCTCTCAAGTTGAAAATTAAACTAATGACAACTTTTAACATGCTTCTTTTCTTGCTTTATTTCCAGCATCAAGTTGTGTTGTTTCTATTTTCTAAGCCACCCAAGAAACTTGCTCCTATGTTACCAGAAGTGGATTTACAGTAAATAATCACGTATATACAATACCCTGCTTTCTTACCTCTCTGCGCGACCGCCTCTTGCTGCCTTTGCTCTCTCTGCTCTTCTTGGCCTTCTTCTTCTTCTTTACCTTCGGAGTCTCATTCTCAGAGATCTCCTCTTCCTCGTCATCTGCAAATCAAGCCAGACGGGACATTTAATGGTTGAGGTTCACAGAGTTGTGACTGTTTGATAACAGTGCTTTACAGCAAGCTGTGAAGATAGCATGCAGATCCGGCTAGAAACAAAACACCAAGCTTGCTTCTTCAATCAGTGAAATGGCTGGTAGACTACGTTTATCACCCCTGTTTACCATTTAATGAATCATTGGAATCCCATCACTTAAAGAGGGAAAGTTCAAATACAAGTAATTAACATCAGGCTACTACATTTCCCTTTTTTTGTCCACAAAACTTCTACCAGGGTGGGATCATTTAGCGCTCAATTTACTGCTGCCAAACAGAAACCACACTCACCTGGTTTTAAACAGTATCACGATTAGATGACGAAATAAAAACCAGCAGGAGTGTTGAGAACCAGGACTGGTAAAGAATAAGCTAGTGGTCAGACTTACTACCACATTTTACGAGTTACTCTAAGGGGAGCTGATCCACAAGTTCAGCTCTGTTGGTTAAAGCAGTAACATACAGTCATTATGATTTAGCTCACTCTTGCAGGCCTTATGACAGAGAGGATCTCAGTCCAGTATCTGGCACTGCCTCTCTGCCACTCAGACCCTATTAATGTAATTGACTATGGTAAAAAAGAAAATGGCAAGCCGCCATTAAGATGCACCTGGTAAGGAAGCGGGATTAATGTGATGGGTTTTTTAGGTCATATAAAGGAGACTAGGCTGTGTGTACGCAGGCAGATGCAAAAAAATCCACACACGCATCCTTGTAAACACTGTGGCAGCATTTTCTACTTGAGGCAAATTCTGAGCATGGAGAGTGTTGTGTACAAAAGCAATGGTTAGTTTTCCAGCAGCATCTTAAGACTAAGATGATCTTTGTGGATGGATTTAGAGATGCTTTTGGGAAATGTGGCCTAGAGCTGTAGACTTGAGATAGCCTAGTCATGCTTAAGCAACAAAAACATGTACTTGCACCTTCACTTAAGCCATCACAGACATGGGATATGCAACACTGCTGCTTCATCAGTCTGTTAAAGTGACGGCATTCTGTTGTTCAGACATAGGTCACTTTTAATGTTGATCCCAGCTTCATTCAGACACAGTGTGTCCACAGAATTAGATTGGACAGTACCTCTTAGACTGTTGTGTCACCCACAATGTATAACAAAGTCCCGTGTCAGTACTGTGTAACCTTGTGCGTGTTCGTGTGACTGCATGAAGTTCAGGCTTGTGCCATGTTGAAGGTGAAACATAAATATTACAAGATCAGACCTTGTTAGACTGTCGTCGCGACTTTTATAGAAAACTTAGCAGGGTGCTGATTCAGACAAGAGGCCAACACATTCAGATGCCATCAGATTAATGGAAAGGAGTGCATCTCACAATAAAAAGGGATTTAGACTAATAGTAGGTGCTCTGGGGTTTTAGCAGCTTGAGATCTGAGCTTTTAATGCACATAATGTTCAAGTTTGAAGTTTCTAGCAAAATAAATCCTGGAGAAAAAATAAAACCTGCCTTTATTCTGAGCTGTGCGTTAAAAAAAAAAGGAAATGAACAAAGCAACAAAAGGCAAATGCTCAAATACTTTGTAATCTTATTGGTCAATATTTGGACACCAGAACAACAGATTTGCATTTGTTTAAAAAATGTGAGTAGAGCTAAAAGTAATAAAGGAAATGTCCTAATTAAAAAGCAAAATGCAAATGTTACTTATTTACATCATTGTGTTTTGTCTCTTTTCTCATTTTCTATGACTACAATTATAATTATTTTCTTGTTACGTAAATAAACGAAACATTAAAAGCTAAACAATTACATCCACAATTTCTCAGAGACCACTAGAATGTCTCCATTTTGTCCAGTACTGTCTTCAGGCATCTTTGCCCTAATAGCAACTGAAATAATAAGCTAATTATCAAAACAGTTGTCAATTAGTGTCCTGCAGATCAGCTACTCAATTAACAGACTAATTACTGCAGCTCTGCATCTTGTAAACTGCATGATTAATTGAGAAAACAGGAAAATAATTGGGAAGATCAGTGAATATTAACAACACTTCTAGGTTTGGAGCTGCAACAACTAATCGATTAGGTGCAAACTGATAAATGAATCATCAACTATTTTGATAATCAATCGTTTTGAGTCATTTTCAAGAGAAGAAAAAAAAATCTTAATTGTCTGATTGCAGCCTCTTAAATGTGAGTATTTTCTGGTTTATTTCCTCCTCTGTGACAGAAAATGGAATATCTTGTAGTGGACAAAAGTACATATTTGTCATGCTGGGATTTGGGAAATAATCTCCATTTTTCATCATTTCCTGAAATTTTATAGAATAAACAATGAATCGATACATCCGGGAAATAATCAGATTGGTTGACAATGAGAATACTGCTTGGTTGCAGTTGTTTCAAACAAAGACTCATATGCATTTTCCAGTTGCAGTAGGTATTATCATAAGATAAAGAATAATCATGGACTGTGCAAAAAAACAATCAGGAAACAGTTTTCCACACGAGGTTCGGTTTCTGTGGCATAGTATTTTCATTATGCAACATTGCTCACCAGATTTATGCGACATTTGCGCTGTTTGGTGGGGGAAAATGCGGGTTTTGTGCTAATTTTTAGCACTTGCAGCTAACTTGCAGGACTATTTGTTCTCAATGGCTCCACCGTGAGCGCCGCGCGTTCTCGTCGGTATCAAACAAACGGTAAACAAAGCGACGCTCAGCCTGAAAATTACAACGGAGATATGACATAGGAAAGGGTTCGTTAAGATGCTGAAAATAGCCTTACTCCGGGGTATTATTTTTACTTTTTTTCTCCACACTCAAACCGAAGGCGCCGGCCATGAGGAGGGGAATGCTACGGAACGTCATCCGCCAGCTTTCAAGCTAACTGGCTGCCTCCATCTTGTCATCGACACGTAAAATAATACCGGTAGCTGGCAAACGGTAGGCCCCGGGAACATGCCGGTCTGTCGGCGTGACTTCACTACAACGCAACTATCAGCGCTCTGGTAGTGGATTTGGGGGCTAAAAAACGTCGATTGCTTTGAAAAAGGTGTTCAACAGCAGCGCAATCGAAAAGAGAGCCGCTTTGCTAACCGGTAGTTAGCCGCGACTAGCATCGACTAGCTTATGCTAACAGAACATGATTGATGTGAACGTCAAAAACATCTGCTCATGCTAGCATGTAACCAATGTGAACATTAGCAACCCGGGCTAACAAATGAGCCTTGTCTTACCGTGCATTAACCGCTCCTCCGGGGCTCCGTAGTCATCTCTTTCGTCCTCGCTTCCAGACATAGCGAACAGCCGAAAACTTTGTATTTAGTTAGCTAACAGTTCAGCCAACTAAATAATAGTTTGTGGGATAATCCAGAGTTGTGACCCAGTCTTGAGTCTGTCCAAGAGTGTGTTGTTGGAGTAAGCCGGCCAGGTTTCACCAAGACAAATAAGAACAAAAACAGAAGTGAACATTCAGCACCGAGCAGCATTGAAAACACAGCAGCATAAACACTCACCGCATGGACGATAAATCTAACTTTACCCGGCTGCAAGTTCACAAAGATTAGCTCTCACTCTCTCACTCCATCCCTGCCTTCAGCTGACATCTTGCCACTAGTTTCATTAGCATGCGTGCTAGCCGAGCTGGACCGGTTCAGATTTGAGAAAAAAAGAACCGAACCACGCTGCTATCTACCCACAAACGCGGTGTTACAAACCGGCATCCGAGCCCTCCTCACCCCCGGCCAACTATAAAAAAAACAAAAGAAAACAAAAAAGAACTGATATACTCACAACTTGATTCATCCAAAACCAGTAACTCCGGCCTCAGTTTGTGTGTCAAGTCAACACTTCTTGGCGGCTCTTTTAATTTTGTGTTGCGCCAACGATGTATACACACACAATTTAAATATATTTCCGTGTCTTTTTGTGGGCAGCGTGTGCGCACGACTCCTCTCCGTCTCCTCTTTCTCTTCCTCGCACACTACACACACCCCGCGCGCGCGCACACACACACAAAGAGATCAGGGGGCAGGCATCCCATAATATCCCCCCCTCCACACACACATACACACACACTTCACTCACCCCTCCCCCACTCTGCATAGTTACCTTGCAACGTACAGACCATAATAGTCAACTCACCCCCTCCCTCTTCTACAGTCTCTTCCCCATTCCTCCATGCACACCCCCCCCCCCCCCCGCACACACGCACACACTCACACACACTCACAAACACCTCCACCCCTCCCTTAGCAACCGGGGTTGCCATGGAGACCCCCCTCCCACCCCCGTGTGCCATCCCATAATAGTAATGAGCGCAGTCACTGACATCCCACAATAAGCATAACTCCAAAAAGAGAGAGATAGGAAGAAAAAAAAAAAAAAGGAAAAGGCGTCACATGGCAACTGTGTGCGCCACATGACTGCTTAAGTTGAGCGTGCATGTTTGCATGTATGCGCAGGCACTGTACTATACATGAGCCCGGCTGCTGGAGACTGTGCACAGGATGCAGATGCAATGCAAGGCCGAGGAGCACCTCGAAAGCACCCCGGGGGCACTAAAAGTGGGGCGACACCAGGTAGCCCAGGTGTTACCCCAACCCCCCCCCAAAAAAAATATGAAGCAAGATGAGCTGAAATATAACACTTCTTCATATGCATGACTCGCTACCATGAGGGTAAACTCACAGTGGAGGCCCGAGAAAGTTGAAAATAAAAAAACCAAATCTTAGCAGGTTAAAGTGAGGTTAAAAAGTCACGCTGGGCCCCTCAACAGAAAAAGGTCACAGGGGTCAAACTGTAGTCAAAACCTTCAAGTGTGCAGCTCTAAGCCCCCCTCAAAACTTGGAGCAGAGAGCCCAGAAGTGCAAGCCAGCAGCTGAGTTAAGCTGTCTGCACACATACACGCTGGCTCGCTCCACAGGCTGCTTGGAAATGCATTGCAGTCAATGGTGGGAAAAACGTCTGGGTCCTAGACAGCTTTTTCCCACCATTGACTGACTGTATTCCATTTAGACTGTAGGGCAGAATGCAGAGCTGTTTGTGCTTACTGTGGCAGAGAAGCTTCTCAATGACGTTTCACCATGTGGAAAACCCGCCGCGTGCACGCCAGCTAACGGGGAATTCTGTTTTGGGGGCCTGCGAAGCATCAGCATGAGTTACGTGTTGTTATTCTAGGACTGTGGGACAAGTCTGCTCTGCAGATGCTACTTTAGTCACCCACAAGTCTGTCAAAGAAAAAAAAATCTGAAAAACTTTTTTACCAACCATAATGCAACATGTGGACAAACATATGTGGACACTCTATCGCTCTTTTTCCCAAAACCTTTTGGATGAACCCTACCTGCGTAACCACCAGAGGCCTGATGATCCAAAATCAGTTCCAGGGAGGTGATTTTACTTCCCTAGAAGTCCCTGTTGTCACACACAAATTGGAACCATACGCACATGTTTTGGTCATTTCCTGAATTAAAGGTCCCTCTTTGTGCCCCTTTTCAGCAAATGAATAATAAATTCACATCTCCAGAGAGAGTCATTTAGTATTCTCCACAAAATATTCAGTTCATTTCACCATGAAACTGTAGCTCCTGGTTTGAGCATTGTTCTAAACCCACTGTTTTAGAGTCTGCAGCTTTTTATGACCTGCTGCTGTCTACGCCCACTTCAAGAAGAAGACTCTCCCTGTGACTGTGATTGACGGCACGGAGCAAAACAGTTAAACAAATGGCTGCTGACATGAATGAGTGTGTGAGATCTGGACTTTCTATCATTTTAAACTTTCTCCCTGAGCAGTCACCTTACACTGAAATATTGCAAAATGTGCAGCACAGCCATTGTTTTTAAGTCATGCAATGGTGACTTTGTCTGATGGCATTGCGGTTCTAAAAATTAGTAGTCTGTTGGTGCAGAGCAGCAGCTTGAAAATAGCTCTGCATAGGCTGCTGGTTAACATGGAGTCCTAATAGGATGCCTTTCAGCTACTGTTTCAAAGTCGTTCTGTTGTCTGACAACAAAAACAGAAAAACATGTAAATAAGAACAGCTTTGTCGAGAACTTGGCTGAATAAGGAAGCAGCATGTGTGAGCACAGAGGGCAGGAGAGAAGTAAACAGATGTAAATAGGCTAAATTTAGGTTGCTCTGAAGCACAACAAGGAACAAAAAACAGTAATGCACCCAGTCCTTGTTTATTGGTTTCATATTGCTCTTTTAAGTTTCCACCATCTCTGAATGACCCTCAGCTTCACAGTTTCCACAGCGCTTCAACCTGCGGGCATACGATCAAAGCTAATAGTAGCATTAGCCTCTTTAGCTGCACATGCTAACACTAAGTATTGTACTATTATTGTGGTGACATTGCCATTAAAAATCTGCTTCTCAGATGCTGTTAGTGCATGAAGACTCTTGTGTTCACTCTTGCAGCAAACAGCAGAACATTTGGTGTGTTTTGCTCATGCCCGAGACACTTTACCCAGGACATTGTTTTCTTTTTAACAAAGTTGGAGCTGGACAACTATTGCTTTCTCAGTTCCTAGAAAGTGAAACAAAACTCTAAACAGATTGTAAAGCTGGGAGGCCATTAGTTGAGGGGCTTAGAGGAAGGCAGCAGTAGGCATCTTCATCTTCTTACAGTTTTTAATTTCCACCTCCAAGTTTTTAAGAACAAAACACAATAAAAACAGATTTTCACCATAGGGGGCCTTAAATTAAGCCTTTTCAAATCTTTTGATAATGCATGATGTTGCAGTTGACATACTTGTTTACATTGTTGAACACCTTCTGAGTGCTGCAGATTTCACTTTGTAACGCTTTTGCTCATAACTGAAGCTTTACTAGTGAATACGTCTCAGGTTTTACTGTTGCAACCCAAGACTCAACAGTTTAAAACTGATAGTTGCTAAGAGCCCAGGAATTCCTGTACGCACAAAGTTGATGCAAGAAATTTCACCACCATCCTGGCTTTGCGACCTTTCTGTACCACAAATGAAAATGTAGTTTTTCATAGAAAGCATTGCCATTTTTGCTTAGTTAGAACCAAATTATTTTGGCCAAACCATGACAACCTGCCTCAGAACTTAAATAAAAGCGTTGGTGTCCACATACTTTTGATCATATAGCCTAAGTTGTAGAATATAGAGGAGAAAAACTGGTTTGGAGGGAAACCTGCGGGCGAGCAAAGATGACAGCTGGTGGTAATTTCCCTAGGTGAGTGTGCATTATTCACTCATAATGAATGACTTATTGTGCAGGAATAAAAGAGTGTGTTGTTCACTGGTGACCACTGCAGCGGGATAAAGGATTAATCACAATGTTGCAACGCATCAAATATCCTTGCATCATTCTTTTTCTTTTTTTTTTGGTTGAAATGGGAAAATCAAACCCCATTATGAGGCTGCTTTAATCTGGGGAGGGTTTACGAATTGTCTCACAAATTATTCATGTCGGCATATTGTCGCAGCGCCCCGACTCTTTGGCTTTTAACCCTCTTCAAGCTGTCCGTCTCCTCTGCTTCTTTATCCAGAGGCCTCTCTCTCTCCCCTCCGGTGTCTTTTCTTTCCTCTGACTCAGCACACCTTCGTTTTGACTCGGTCTTTCCTTTTGTCCCCGTACTCTTTACTCCCTCATACGCCGGCCTACACAAAGAGCGAATAAACAACTTCTTCGTCTTTCTTTTCTTTTTCCATTTGTGCCTCTTTTCTCTCTCTGTCTCTCTCTCTCTCGCTCCTGTGCTTTTGCATCTTTCCCCCCTCCCCCACACTACTCCTTTTCCTTGACTATGGACACAGTGTTCATGTGTACAGGAGAGGTGGTGGTGGTGGAGGTGGGGGGTGGGGGGGGTGATGAGGGTGTAGGGGTAACATCCCATAATCACCAATCAGAAGGAAACTGGGGGCAGTTGTCATAGAAACCTCGTGCACGGCTCTTGACGCCCCTCCCACCCCGCACCGCCACCACGCTCGCAGAGTTGCATATCTCATAATGATAATAATATCATTTCTGAGGCAAAAAAAGAAAAAGGAGAGCGGGGGAGGTGGAGGGGAGGTGGAGGGGGAGACTACAGCCCATAATAGTGCTCCTGTGCTGCTGGTCGTCATGGAGATAAGCAGAGGGGTGGCAGCAGTGGTGGTGGCGGCGGAGGGAGGAGGGTTACAGGCGGGGTCAGATTACCATGTAAGTCAAAATGCATACCATAATACTTCTTGGCTGCCCCCCCCCCCCCCAGCTCTGCTCCACCTATCCGGCCCTGCAGTCCACGCTGTGAAGCTGCACCAGATAACAAAGTGCAAATGGATCTGATCAGCCCCAACATGTCTGCCATATGAGATAACGCACAGCAGCGGGAGGCTGGCAGATGGACGCACAAAACAAAACGTGGACACGAGATACCGGTGCATCACGGTCGTCTGGACGTCCCACGAGGCTCCGATGTGCCGAATCTGAGTATCACTGGAAAATCCGGGATTAATTCGTGATTCAAAGACAAAAAAAAAAAAAAAAACAATTGAAGGGAATAAAAATCAATCAAAAACTGTCAGTTTTTGTCTTTTACCAGTTCATTTTGTCCCTTTTATTTGAAAATCAAAACCAAAAGTCACATGACATCAAAATTAGACTTAAAAAATGGCTCTGATTTTGTTTTTTTTTTGCAATCCATTTTGTCAACATGAAAAAAAACAAAACTAAAAAACTATCTGTAACATTTCACGTTTCAGAACATTTTCAGAACGAGCAAACCAATCAACACGGCCAATTTTTGACCTTTGACAAATCCTTCTTTCATTTCTCATCTGGAAAATAAAAACAAATAAACCACGTGACTTTTGGTTTAAAAAGAATAAACAACAAAGCCATGTGACCTTTTTTTTTGGTTCCAAATGAGAAATGAAGACAGGATTTGTCAGCGATCAAAATGGGCCATATTGATTGGTTCATTTGTTGTCCTGATTCTGAAATCTGAAGCAGTTTTTCCATTTTTGGTTTTCAAACATAGAACAGAATTTTTTATATATTTTTAATATATAATAATATAGATGGATTATTCAATGATAATGTGACAATGACGGTGTGGAGTTTAACTTTGTGTCTTTCTGTTATTTTTCCAATATTGCTTTGTGTGCTGCTTA